CAAGGGTCACCCCGATCCACAAAGGAGGAGACCAAACAGATTTTGAATAACTATAGGCCAATATCCAAACTTACACCCTCTCTCAAAAATCTTCGAAAAATTAATTCATAAACGAATCTACTCCTACCTTATCTCCCAAAACATACTCAAACCCCTGCCAATTTGGATTCAGGCCTAATAAAAAATACTAATGATGCTATTATACACATGCTAGAACATATATACACTGCAATAGAGAAAAAAGAAGTCCCACTGGGGATCTTCATTGACTTACGTAAAGCTTTTGATACAGTTGACCATGACTTGCTCCACGTAAAATTGTCACACTATGGTATAAGAGGGCACTCCCTCAACTACCTCAAGTCATACCTCAGCAACAGAAGCCAATATGTGTACGCAAATGGGGCAAACTCTTCTGCGCAAACCAATTACAGTTGGTGTCCCACAGGGAAGTGTCCTTGCCCTCTTCTCTTTCTCCTATACATAAATGACCTTCCAAATGCTTCGCAATTACCCCAACCCACACTATTTGCAGATGACACTACATACGTCTTCTCTCACCCGAGCCCAGCCACACTAGCCAATACTGTAAATACCGAATTACAGAAAATATCTACCTGGATGAGGACTAACAAACTTACACTAAACATTGACAAAACCTACTTCATTCAGTTTGGTAACAGAGCTACAGATGTCCCTCTTAACATAATGATAAACGGATCACCTATCACAAAGCTAACAGAGGGAAAATTCTTAGGAATCCACCTTGATAATAGACTCAAATTTCATACACATATACAACAAATTTCTAAGAAAATTTCCAAGACTGTAGGCATACTATCGAAGATCGGTACTATGTTCCACAGTCAGCCCTCCTGGCCCTATATCACTCTCTTATTTTCCCCTATCTCACCTATGGAATTTGTGCATGGGGCCCCAACAACAATTAACCATCTCAGACCACTAATTACCCAACAAAAGGCTGCAGTTAGAATGATAACAAATTCTCACTACAGGCAGCACACTCCACCAATATTCAATACACTAAACCTACTCACCATACAAAACATCCATACTTATTACTGCACCTATTACATACATAGAACACTTAACTCTGATATTAACCCTCCCCTCAAACATCTCCTTGCCAACCTCAACAGAACACATGACCATAACACAAGGCACAGATCACTCTTTGATGTTCCTCGTGTCCATCTCACACTATGCAAAAACTCAATGCACATAAAAGGCCCTAAAATCTGGAATTCATTACCTGTAAATATAAAAGAAACACTACCTGTTTATAAATTCAAGTCTCTTCTCAAAGATCACTTACTCACCCAAAACCAAATAAACACTGAATAACTGAACCTTATAAACTGTATATCTTAAATGTTTCTCACAATTATATCACATAAATGTTAAACCTAAAACCGAATCTAACTTCATTATTTTTTAAATACACTACCTAACAGAATCCTTCATATGACTGAATGCAACCATATGACCTGTCTTTGTAATACTCACTTGTGCTTTATAGTAATCTGTTTACATTAATGTTTTATCACTGATTTCATCATTGCTTAGTTAATCTTAAGTTAATTTTAAGCCAGCCCGTAATGCTATGCATAGTATAAGTGGCTTTGGCATGCTGCTCTTATCTGTATTTTTTTGTACCTCTGTATGTGTGCTCAAATTGGTAATAAATAAATAAATAATTAATAATCTACTGTTCAACTATGAAATAATTACTGTACAACTATGATATAATCCTTAGTGTTAAGTAGTCTGTAAGCCAATAATGTTAAGTTGGCCCATAATGCCTAGGCATAAAGAGGCTCTCTTTGCATTGCAACCCACTATTGTAAATACAAAATCTCAATGTACTGTTTGCAAAGACATAAAATAAATAAATGAAATAAATAAGGATAACTAATAAAAAAAATAAAATCAAAGACTATTAAACAGAACTGGGATTTCATCAAAAATCAAACTTATGAATTTGGAAGGGTATGTTCAAAAAGAAATTTAAAGTGAACGTAGGCAAGAGTAAGATGGTAAAATAAAAAAAATAAAAAAAAAAAAAAACCTAGGTAATGAATGATTTAATATCAGATTGAAGGGAGGGAGAATGAAGGAAGTAAATTATTTAGATATCTGGGAGTGGACTTGTCAGCAGATGAGTCTATGAAACCTGAAGTAAACCACAGAACTGAAAAGAGAGAAAGTTGAATGGTGTGTTGAGGCATCCGTGAAGACATTATCAATAAAGGCAAGAAGTGTAATATACCAGAGCATAGTGGTACCAACAGTATAAGGGTATGCAGAGGAGGAGGGTGGTAGCAGTAGACATGTCATATTTGAGCACAATGTGTGGTGAGATTAAGAAGTGTGGGGTTACTAAATGCATAATTCAGAGGGCTGAGGAGGGATTGTTGAGGTGGTTTGGGTATTTACAGAGGATGGAACAAATTAGGATGACTAAGAAGTTATATAAATCCAGTGTGGAAGGAAGAAAGAGTAGGGTTTGTCCCAGGAATTGCTGGAAGGAGGAGATAAATAAGATTTTGAGGGACTTTAACCCTTTCCGTTTTGGTCCTGTTATATTATGGCTTTGAAGCCAGTGTCGGTCCTGTAGTACTACACCATGAACTTAGCTCACTCAGAAAAGCTGTGAGCAGTAAATTTGGGCCTAGATATGAGAGAATGGGTTACTGTAAGTGTGCACCCTATGAAAAAATCCTGCAGTACACAGTGCATGAGGAAAAAAACTGCAAATGTGTTTATGGCTTAAAACTGACTTTGCAGTGTATTTTTGTATGGTTTTTGTGGTTGTATTCTTGGTTTCTTGGTCTCAATTGATAGAATGGAAGATGTATTACACAAACAGACATGATTTTGATTGGTTTCTGGTCTGAAAGTAGCTTGAAATAGAGCTCAAAGTAGTGGAAATGTTCAACTTTTGCCGATATTCCAGAGCACACAAATGACGTGTCCAATACACACGTCCAAATGGCCAGTCTAGTATGCATTTAGGAGTGCACTGACAATATTTATACGATCATTGCAATGCATAACAGTAAATCTATTTTTTATGTGAAAAAAAAACTCAAAATGGAAAGCAAGCATAATATAAGAGGGGCTTGCAGATGTGACTAAGGAACAGAGGAAATCATTTATTTTTTTAGTGCCTGGAATATGTACACTTCTTATTCTGGACCCTATTTTTAAATTGTCAATTTTTTAATTTTCTGTGAAATTGGGCAGTTCCTTGTACTCAATTGACAGAATAGAAGGAATACTAGCAAAATAGCTATGAGTTTGGTTGAAACAATAGAATTGGCCAAAAAAGGGAAGCAAAGTGGGTGGAATCGCCAATGTGTAAATATTGCCAAGACTTCTAACTTTACCAAAGAGTATAATTCCTTCAGTTTTCCATCAGATTTCATACTTTTGGTTTCATTACCTTCAGAAAAAGATTATCACTTCATAAGAAGTGATACTTTTTTTTGCAACCCTTAGAGCAAGTTTGAGAGGAGGGGTTATGACCCTGAAAGAGTTAACATCCAAGAGGCTTGTCTGATCACATTAGATCAGAGTGGGAGCCAGGTGGTTTTTATAATTTGATGTACTGTTGGAGTTTGAGCACTGTAATATTTATGAAGAGATTCTAGGAAACCAGTTAACTGACCCCATGAGTCCCAAAGGTGAAAAGTACATTGGCTGCACCTTAACCCTTTCAGGGTCCATGTCGTAGATCTACAGCTTTACGTTCAGGGTCCAAACCGTAGATCTACGCCATGAGCTCAGCTCACTCTGATAAGCTGTGAGTGGTAAATTTGGGCCTAGATATGAGAGAATACATCTATGTGGTATGTGTGCACCACATAAAACAAATCCTGCAGCACACAGTGTATAATGAGAAAAAAACTGAGACCGTGATTTTCAATTTAAACAGCGACTTTGCAGTGTTTTTTCGTATGTTTTTTATAGTTGTATTTGCGATTTCTTTATCTCATTTGATAGAATGGAAGACATTACAGAAATAGAGATGATTGGTTTTAGCACTGGAAATGGCTTGAAACTGAGCTCAAAGTAGTGGAAATGTTAAATTTTTGCCAAAGTTCAAGAGTAAACAAACAACCTAACACGTCTAATACACACCAGCTGGTGGGTCTAATATACATTCACAAATGTGGTGATGATATTTATACAATTATTACAATATTGCATAACAGTAAATCTTCTATTTTTTTTGGTTTGAATAAAAATTCATTGTGAATAAAAAACCAAAATGGAATTCATTTGTAAAGCCTCAAAATGTAACTAATGAACAGAGGAAATGTTAGTTTAGTGCCAGGAATACCTACATTGTTTATTCTGGACCCTATTTTGAAATTGAAATATTTTGTACTTTGCATTAAATTGGCCAAATTACTAATTTCCGATCACTTTATTTTGTAGTTGAAACAGTTGACTTGGCGATTTCTTGTGCTCAATCGATAGAAGTAATACTAGTGAAATAGCTAAGAATTTGGTCAACTGGAATAATGTGATTGGCCTAAAATGGGAGTCAAAGTCGGCAAAATTGCCGATTCGTAAATATCGCTGACACATCAAAATTCGCAAGAGCATAATTTCGTCAATTTTTCATCAAATTTCGTACTTTTTGTTTTATTACCTTCAGAAAAAGATTTCTAACATTTCATAAGAAAAATAACATTTTTTTTTTTTTAAATTCTTGGACCCTGGTGCGCACTTTGAAATTTGGCCTCTGGACCCTGAAAGGGTTAAAGGATGGGCAAGGATGTTGCAGCTCAGAGGTTCATCCAAACTAACAAGACAGCAATTGAATGAATGACTCTGAATGTGTATACTATTTTTTTGGGGGGAGGGGGGGAGACAACCAGTGTGAATATAAACAAGAAACAGTGAGAATATAAACAAGAAACTTTTAATTTTTGTTGAGAAGCCGATGAAGCATGAAGAGAAACACTTACCTTGTGCACTAAGGAAAAGTGCACCAGGTAAGAGGAGCTGCTCTGGGCCTGTGACTGGCTGGCAGCAGAGACCAAGACCTTCATCACTGCAACCTACACCTCCACACACCACCTGGTTGTAATATTATTTTCACTAAAATACTTTATATATACAGTATATCACTAAAATACACACAATGAGAATGTATAATGCACAATACACATTATAAATAATCATAAAAAATAGTTTGGTCCTTTCTTTCAACACACTGGCCGTATCCCACCCAGGCAGGGTGGCCCAAAAACAAAAACGAAAGTTTCTCTTTTTAAATTTGGTAATATATACAGGAGAAGAGGTTACTAGCCCTTTGCTCCTAGTTTGTTCTTATTACTGCAGAAAACAAGTGGTTTCCAGATTAGCCATTCAAAACTCCCCAAGACAAGCTTATCATACATTATCTATGGCAAGGTTATTTGTGCATACTAGTAACTGGCTCAGTGGATATGATTTTTTTATATAAAATAAATGTAATAGCAACCACCCATGGAAGTACTACCGTCCTGCCAAGTGAGTGTGAAACGGAAGCCTGTAATTGTTTTACATGATGGTAATTGTTTTACATGATGTCTTTTTTCTGTCTCAAACATGCAAGATTTCAGGTACGTCTTGCTACTTCTACTTACACTTAGGTCACACTACACTTGCATGTAGTACAAGCATATATATATACACACCCCTCTGGATTTTCTTTATTTTCTTACTAGTTCTTTATTATCTCCTTGGGGAAGTGGAACAGAATTCCTCTGTAAGCCACGTGTGTTCTAAGAGGTGACTAAAATGCCGGGAGCAAGGGGCTAGTAACCCCTTCTGTATATATTACCGTGATACCTCTCATATGCGAACTATATAGGCCGAAACCGGTTCGGAAACATGGAGTTTCCAGATACGTGAGGAAAAAATGCACATCTGTACCGTCATATCGCCATCCGCACCCCATCATATCGCCATCGGCAACAGTGTTGCAGGTTTAAAAAATGAATCCAACGTTGTCTGGTGGTGGGACCAGACATTCTGGGCTCCATTATCAGCCTCCCAGATTTCAAGGACCACAGGACCATAACTTTTCAAATGGGTTGTGGACAGTGGATACTCCAAATACAGTGGAACCTTGTGTTATGAACACCCCACCATACAAATTTTTCAGGATACGAACAGTCGTTCGGTCCATTTTTTGCTTCAGGATATGAACGAAATTTCAGGATGCGAACTTCCCCTTCAAGGGAAGTTCCTTATAAAAATAAATAAATAAAATACAGGAAGGCCCCGCTTTACGGCGTTTCACTTTACGGCGTTCTGCTAATAACGGTCATTTCAAATTATGACCAAAACTCGCAATACGGCTCCCCCCACCTGACTTTCTAATACGGTCACCGCGCCCCACCTTGTTTGTTTACATTCTTTGTGAGCTCAGTAAGCACTAAGTCTCTCCATTTTGTCTGGAAACTCCAAAATTTCAAATGTTTTTAAAAGTTATTTCATATTTTATATATACTCTGATAATTATACTTATGTATACCTGTACTTTAATAAACTTACATACTGTGCTGGCATGCAGGTACACATTAAAATCAGCAAGAGTGTCTTATGTCTCCAGACGTCATATTAGTAATGATAATAATAATCGAGTCTCATTTAAATGTCGTATATTACGTTAAATACACATTTTCATTAATCCATCTATGATATTTTTTCAAAATTATATAATAAACACGATACATAACATAAAAAGATGTTAAATACACCCCACAATAGAATAAATAAACATAAATATGAGATGTGGTAGCAGACGACTTGCACAAGTGACGCCATATTAGAAATGCTAATAATAATAATAATAATCACCGAGTCTTATTAAATGTTGTATATTACGTTAATATACACATTTTCATTAATCCATCCATGATATTTTTTTCAAAATTATATAATAAACACGATACATAACACAAAAAGATGATAAATACACCCTACAATAGAATAAATAAACATAAATATGAGATGTCGTAGCCAGATAACTTGTACAAGTGATGCCAAGAATAACATTTTCTCTAATCTAACATAAGAGAAAATGTGTTACTGGGGATAACTGTAGAAAATTATTCCTTTCGTATGTATGTAAGTAAGTTTATTCAGGTATACACAAATACAGTTACATAGATTATCATACATAACAACATAAGTGTAGAGAACCTAGGATAACCCAAAAAAGTCAGAGTGACTTATTTCCATTGCCTTCACTCAGAGCATCATTTCTTCTCAAAATGATGTTACATGAGAATGGGAGTGTTCTTCTTTATTTATTCTACCGTATCAATGTAGAGACAACCTGTACACAATGTAACTTGTACACAAACCAGACATGTACACTTCGTTTACAAAACTTACCTTCGCCTGGTTTGTTTACATAACTCTGCGCCTGTACTCTCTCATGCACTCATTCTTCCTCTCTCTCATTTATTCGTTTTATCTCATTTACTTACTCCTGACCCTACATTAAGACTACAAATATTTTAAGGTAAGTAATGAGTGAACTGTATATAATTTTATCGCTCTGGGATGCTTAAATATCATAGGAATTGTATGTGTGGGTGGGTGGCCTGGTATGGTAGCCTGGCTGACTACCATACATACCACACTTGATTTCTTACAATAAATACTACTTGTCTCACCCTAGATTAAGACTATAAATATTTTAAGGTAAGTAATGAGTGCACTATGTGTGTATTATACTTTTTATTGTTTTCTGATGCCTGGTTCTATTGCTAACTTAATATATGTTAGTGTAAACTTGTTATCTAGTGTTTGTATGCATTTGTAAGTGGAAAAAAAGGGTGTTCCACTTTACGGCGGTTTCCGCTTTACGGCGGTAGCCTGGAACCTAACCAGCCGTATAAGTGGGGCCTTCCTGTATATATTTCTTTGCAAAGGTTACAATGTGTGTTTACATATCATAATATGACTGGAGCAAAGAAAGCCACTATCATGCTGAGGCATTTTGGGCAGAAATGCCTATTTAAGACTACTTAAGTCGAGACAGGTGAAAAGTGTACTAATAGTGGTTTCCAATGTTTTGTTGATGGTGGCACCAACTACTAGAAGCCTTTTGAAGTTTCTCCTTACTATTATTAATACTATTACAGTGGACCCTCACCTAACGCTTTTAATCCGTTCCTGAGAGCTCAACTTTAGGCAAAATTATCGTTAGGCGAATCAATTTTCCCCATAAGAAATAATTGAAATAAAATTAATCTGTGGAAGACACCCAAAAGTATGAAAAAAAATTTTTTTTACCACATGAAATATTAATTTTTAATACACACAAACTGATGAAGACATGCACAGTTACATGACACTTACCTTTATTGAAGATCTGGTGATAATGATGGGATGGGAGGAGGGGAGTGTGTGGATGGTCTTAGTGTTTAGAAGGGGAATCCCCTTCCATTACGACTTGAGGTAGCAAGTCCTTTTCCGGGGTTACTTCCCTTCTTTTAATGCCACTAGGACCAGCTTCAGAGTCACTGGACTTCTGTTGCACAACATATCTGTCCATAGAGGCCTGTACCTCTCATTCCTTTATGACTTTCCTAAAGTGTTTCACAACATTGTCAGTGTAATAGTCACCAGCACGGCTTGCAATAGCTGTGTGAGCGTGATTTTCATCCATAAAGTTTTGCACTTCAAGCCACTTTGCACACATTTCCTTAATCTTTGAAGTAGGCAACTTCTTCAATTTCTCTCTCCCCTCCTCCGAAGCAGTTTCCTCAGATGTGGCCTCTTGCTGTTGAAGATGATCTAGCAGCTCATCAGTGGTTAGATCTTCATTGTCCTCCACCAACTCTTCCACATCCTCCCCACTAATCTCCAATCCCAAGGACTTCCCCAATGCCACAACTGATTCCTCAACTGGCATACGCTTCTCAGGGTTAGCCTCAAATCCTTCAAAATCCCTTTGGTCTACACATTCTGGCCACAGTTTCTTCCAAGCAGAGTTCAAGGTCCTCTTAGTCACTCCCTCTCAAGCCTTACCTATAAGGTTTACACAATTGAGGATATTAAAGTGCTCTCTCCAAAACTCTCTTAGAGTCGATTAAGTTTCTGAGGTCACTACAAAGCACCTTTCAAACAGAGCTTTTGTGTACAGTTTTTTGAAGTTTGCAATGACCTGCTGGTCCATGGGCTGCAGGAGAGGAGTGGTATTAGGAGGCAAAAACTTGATGTTAATGAAGCTCATGTCTGCAGAAAGTCGCTCTACCACGTCTGAAGGATGACCAGGAGCATTGTCTAATACCAGGAGGCACTCAAGGTCTAATTTGTTTTCAATTAGGTAATTTTTCACATCGAGGGCAAATGCATGGTGTAACCAGTCATAGAAAAAAGTCCCTAGTGACCCATGCCTTACTGTTTGCCCTCCACAGCACACACAAATTAGCTTTGAGGATATTCTTTTGCCTGAACGCTCTGGGAGTTTCAGAGTGATACACCAATAAAGCTTCACTTTGCAATCACCACTAGCATTGGCACACATCAACAGAGTAAGCCTGTCTTTCATAGGCTTATGTCCTGGGAGTGCCTTTTCCTCCTGAGCAATGTAGGTCCTGCTTGGCATTTTCTTCCAAAACAGGCCTGTTTTGTCACAATTAAATACTTGTTCAGGTTTCAGTCCTTCACTGTCTATGTACTCCTTGAATTCATGCACATATTTTTCAGCTGCTTTGTGGTCTGAACTGGCAGCCTCACCATGCCTTATCACACTATGTGCCACTACGATTCTTAAATCTCTCAAACCAACCTTTGCTGGCCTTAAATTCACTCACATCATCACTAGTTGCAGGCATTTTTCTAATTAAATCCTCATGCAACTTCCTAGCCTTTTCACATATGATCGCTTGAGAGATGCTACCCTCCTGCTATCTGTTTTTCGTTTATCCACACCAATAACAGTCTCTCAACATCTTCTATCACTTGCGATCTCTGTTTCGAAAACAAAAGTTGCACCTTTGGCAAGAACAGCTTCCTTGATTGCCGTTTTCTTGGCCACAATAGTAGCGATGGTTGATTGGAGTTTACTATAC